CAAATTAATAAATGAATTTTTCTTCACTAGGCTTTCTGGAATCTTGATGTCCTAAATAAAATGAGAGAAAGCCTTGCACCCACCCAATATGAAAGCCACTCCACACCCCAGATAAACGTGTAAGTGCTGTTCGCTATCTGCAGCCACTGCAATTAACAGAGATCAAAGACGTGTTGATACAAATACACATACACTCGTTTTTTAGACAGTGATAATTCTGTGCAAAATAAGATATCATTATAATGTGTGTTCTAATGTATTTCCAAATGTGAAGCAAATTTAGAAAATGAAAATGAAATGCCTTACTACCCAGAATTTAAGAGCATTCCCTTCTTGTGTCACAAAATTACCTATCATAGGGAAAAACCTTATTTCATGAATATCCCCGACATATAGAAATCTCCAACACATATGGAAAGGACATATTTTGGTAACACGATGATTCAATTTTATAATGTACTTGAATTGAAATTTATATATATGTACTTGAATTGAAATTTATATATATGTACTTAACAAATATGCATGTTTTCCAGCCATATCATTTAATGAAAAGATCAATAAAAAGTATATTTGCCTGACTAGATTTTTGTTCTTTCTGACATGTCTGTTAATGTTATTTTTTCCAAACAGAACTATGCTAAGAATATTTATTTCAGTAAAGTCCCATCTCACTGTCCACAGAGGGAGAGAGAGAGGGGAAAAAAAAGCACAGAAAATAGAGATAAAATATCCTCAGTAGCATTGACCTAACTTTCCATAGGCTCACTCTGATCTTTGGTCACACAGACCATTTATCTTTTTAGATCTGGTACATATTACATATAAATGTCACAGTTTAGTTCTTAAGATGGCCTTAACTTTCACAGTCTAATGCAAGCGATATAATTACAAGCTATTGCTCTTCTCAAAACATGCATAAGAAACTCAGCAAACTCACATGCCAAGGAGTGAAGGTATAACAATGACTCCAAGGGCAAGTGCTCTTCTTTGTGATGCAGGTTGATTATCCCTTATCTGAAAGGCTTGAGACCAGAAGGGTTTTGGATTTGGAATATTTGCATACAAATAATCTTGGAGATGGGACCTAAGTCTAAACATCAAATATTTATGTTTCATATACACCTTATACATATAGCTTGAAGGTAATTTCATATAATATTTTTAGTAATTTTGTTAAATACTTTTGTGTGGAATTTTCCACTTGTGGCATCATGCTGCTACTCAAAAAGTTTTGGATTTTACAACATTTCAAATTTCGTATTTTCAGATTAGGAATGCTCAACCTGTAATAAACCATGCAAAATGAAGGAGAAAATGAAATCCCATGCAGAAGCATATGAGATTAAAACATCAATGGGTACAACCCCTCTTCCAAAATTATCACTACTAATTATCACCACTAAGAGCTTTGAGTTCTTTCAGGGATATAATCAAGTAGTTTCTCCACTACTTGAAGCATCTTTGGGTGAGATCAATGAAAAGTTTAAAACTATAGCCTTGGAAAGGGATCATCAGTAATAGCTGGATTATTCTGTATATGTAAAAATTAAGTTTATTTTTAAATTCTATCCAGAAACTGTGTAAGTTTTCCAACACGCTGGAAGAGCTCCAACTAATCCTCTCTGATGCAAGAAGGAGAAATGCTGTGAACACATTTCCTGGAGCGGCTGCACTCAGGGCAGCCCTCCCAGGCATTACGCCTCACTACAGAGCCAGCATCCCTGCTATTCCGATCCACTAAAAAACCAACCAGCAAGTCAATTTCAGCATGTCCCCCATCCCCACATCAAGACAGCAAATCCAAGACAGGCACTATTGCAGCTTTCTTGTCCTCTGTGGTTCCTAAATAAGCCACCACTTGCCTCTCCTCTCCAACTCAGAAAATGACAGAGAAATATTTTAGTCACCCTTTTTACTCAGTATTTCCCTCTACATCAATGGATTTTTGAAGCCGAGCCCAGCTTAGAAATAATGCTGTAAGTTTGTCTGTTTTTCTGATTTAGTGAGTTACCCAACAAGATATTCCAGACAACAGCTCAGTAGAAACACATTTTTCAGAAATGCTCAAATGTTAACAGCTGTGAAAGACTGTAGTAGAAGCAGCAAGTACTTTCTTTAGAAGGAAGATAACAGCGCACAGGTAAAAACTGGAAAGCAGTGAAGTAAGGATGATTTTAGAAAAAAATTCATTGCAAGCATGCTCATAAGACACAGCCATATGCTAGACAACAAGAGACAGTATTCTAGTTTAACACTGCTTAAACTCTGGTCAGAGAAAAATGAACCGTGGCACTGTTCCGGTCACTAGGAACTACAGCACTCCATAATGATAATATACATTTATTAAGTGACAGAAGATATGCTAATGACTTTAAATAAACTCACACTTAAGCCATATCACATTATCACCATTTAACAGTTGAAGTAATTGAGGCAAAGATCCAGTACCAAGCTCAAAGTCATATAGCCACTAAGTATGCTCACAATAAAACATCAGTTAAAACATTTTAAGTGTCCCAAACACTTTAGGCTTTAAAATCACTTGTAAATTTTAATTATGACACTATTTCAGCTAGGCAGAGCATGAGCAAAGATGAATCATGCAGACTATTTAAGCAATTTGGAAATGGAGACTTGAGCCCGTAGCAGAATGTGAAATATCCAGTTATCCCGATACTTTAAGGCATCACACAGACACTGACACAAGTTTTAGTTTGCAACAGTCGGAATATTTAACTAACTTCCAGAAAAAATTATTGTGTTTCTAGAGCAGAATAAGAAATACAGTTGGGGAACTAACGTAACTGTATATGGGGAGGGACTAAGGAGAAACAGTGACATTAGAGTCGATTAGTCCTTCAACTCTAGTGTATGCTAGCTTAGGGATATACGTGGGGTTAGTTGTCATTCAAACCAACATGGAATGTACACTACACATCAGAATGATGAAAGGACTAAACCCTTGCTTAAAGCTTGATGGCAGTCTACAACTGATATCAGGTCTCCTCAGTAAGCTAAGCAGAAAATTTCTCAGCAGTAAGAGGAGAAGCTTTATGTGCCAGAACCTCTAGAACACTGTTTTCTGGGAGTTAGCTGCATTATTTATAGTGTGTGGCTAGCAACTGAAAATATAGTCAAAAACAATCTTGTTTTTTGGAGGAAAAATAATGAAGCATTTCATCTACAAGGGAAGAGAGTGTATCACATAGTACAGGAAAAAGGTCTCTCTGTGGGACACACCCTGTCGGTACAGTGTATCTGTTGCTACAGGAGAATGCCCACGAGGACACAACATGTGCTAGTCATGGGAGGAGCTGTCACGTCTCACTTAGAGAGCCTTCCTGGCCTTCTCTGGCTACCGAATGCTAGCATTCTGGCTCATCAAATCCACTATAAACTATTTAGTTACAATTTCCATTCCTTACCAGCTAAACCTGTAACCCAAAGCCAAATCAAAACAAAATCAAAATCAAAACCAACAAAAACAGGAAAAGCTATTTCTGTCACAGTTCTGTGAGGTCATATCTGTATTTCTGATAATAAATTATCATTAGGCTAGGTTCCATTTGTCAAACAGACCAGATTTGTTTTGGAAACGTTAATCATATGAAAACAAGAACAAAGTTAACAGAATCATTCATTATGTCTTAATTTCACCGTTAAAATTTTAAAAATTAGACCTCTAGTAAGTCACGAAATGAGACAGAACATTCTATCAGTGCAGGGCATCTACTTCTGTCACCAAGTCATAAACTGAGTTACATCAGGGAGATGTAACTGAAACTTCAGATTACATCTGAAGAGACCCCAGAAACACCAGGAGAGTATGTTTATTTCCTTTGCTTCAGCCTCCCAAATACAAGCTCTTTCAGTAAAAAATGTAATGTATCACATTCCCTCTTTGATGAGAATTTAAGCTTTATATCAAGATCTCACACTGCAATTACTCATTAAAAAAAATCAGTAATTTAAAACTAAAAAAAAAAGGGGGGGGTCCCAAATAACAAGTTGCTTTTTTGTGGCAAAAGTTTATCCAATTCAAATGTTTCTGAGCATCTATTATTGGCAAACAACCCATGTTTATGGGATGCCACACAATCTCTATGTAACTGTCACAGCCAATTGATCTGAATTTGCACAGTCCCATTAATCACTTTCTGCTGTAATCCTATTGACACTTGCTTCACTAACTAAAAATGTGTCTCAGTCTCGCTTTTTTTTTCTTGAGCTTGACATTTTGGAAGACTCAGGCCAGTTACTCTGCCAGGTATCTCCACTGTCAAGCTCATGAAAGACAGAGATCAGCTGAGGACCATTTCCAGATTAAAAGAGACTAAAGAGACATGATAACTTAATTCAATGTATGTTCTTGGATTGGCTATGGGACCCAGAAGTAGGTTAGAAAATTTGAAATTTGAAAAGGTCTGCATATTAGATAATAATTTTATCAGTAATAATTTCCTAATTTGGATAATTATATTATGGTAATATTAAGAGGATATCTTTCTTTTTAGGAAATATATACTGAATTATTTAGAGGTAAAGGATTATTGTCTATAACTTACTCCTTAAGTGTTTCAGAAAAAAACCTTTAAGGGGAGTGATGAAGAGAGGGAGAGAGGCTGGCAAAAGAAGTATGATAACATATGGGGACTCGAGGTAAAGACTATATGGAGATACTTTGCACCATTTTACAACTTTTTTTCCTCCCCCAATGAAGGTTATTTATAACTATTTTTGAAGTCTGAAATTACTTCAAAATAGCAATTTTTAAAAAATGTGTGTCAAGTTTATGCCCAAGAATATAATAAATTTAATGAAAGATGGCAAAAGGAGGAAGATTCAAAAGCTGAACTCTATTTCACCTTTTCTACTTAAGTGCTGAGCCATTCAAGAAATTTTGAAAGAAAATGTTATAGGGCCTTAAAGTGAGAAAAATCACAGGAAAAGTAGTTAAGACATGATATATTTAGTTTTTTTAAAAGTAGTATACTCACTGTCCAATCCAGGATGGCTGATTGTCATTAATGAGATGGATTTTGTCAATGGAGAAGAAATTGCTGATGTACAGTAATTAAATCCCTGCTGCTTAGATCTGTGACATGCCTATAAAATAAAAAAGTGAAGAACAGGTTGTAATTAGTTGCTCTCATACTTCTAGATAAGCACAAAACTTTACATTCAGATACAACATAGTGAAATAAGGCAGTACAGAAGGTGGTTAAAGCAGGCTTCATAGTCAGACAGACTTGGATTCAAGTCTGTCCCTGCCAAGTATAGCTGCTCAACCTCAGAAGTTACTTAGTTAGCTTTTTTGACCCTTAGTTTTCTCTTCTATAAAATGGGGATAATTGGAATATCTATCCTTTACAGTGGTTTGTATCCCTTATAGCATTTAACAATGTTTCAAACTTAACAAGTGCTTAATAAGTATCTGCTGAGTGTATAATGAGATAAAAATAATTTCAGACGCAAAGGCAGGAGGATCACTTGAAGCCAGGAGTTTAAGGCTGTAGTGTGCTATGAACGCACCTGTGGCCAGCTACTACACTCCAGCCTAACAACATAGGGAGACCTTGTCTCTTTAAACCTTATAGAGATACAGTAGTGTATCAGCAATCTTATTCTAATTTTTAAAGAGCTGGAAACTGAGATGCAAGTAAAAAGTGTTTCAAGCTCATAAGCAGAACAGCAGTGTATCTGGAAAGAAGCCTATCTCTCTTTCATTTCCTCTTCTAAGATTAGAATGATTCTGTATGAACATGAGGGTGACTGAAATTTGATAATTTCACTCGCTCAGTAAATTCACAGCAGCTTCAAGGCCATGTAGTCCAATCAGTTGCAGAAGTTCCTACTACCATATCTCTAAAAGACAGTCACATAGTGCGTAGCACACTTTTGGTAGTCAGGGGCTCCCTTCTCTTTTGAGAGAGAGAGCCCATTCCAATTGTTAACTAACTTAAATTATTGTTAATCCCTGCCCTGCATTGTAGACTAAAATCTGTCTCCCTATGACTCACACATGTTGACAGGGAAGCAATGAAAATCCGTTACCAGCATGAACTCCTCTCAACTGGGCCAAAGACTTCTGGTTATTTAGAGCTTGTTCCACATGTAACCATGGAATCTGAGGCAAACAGTTGCTATGTTTCAAATACAACTGTGAGGTCTGAAAAATGACCTCAGCGAAAGGCAAAGACTTTCAACGGGAAGTTGGCCACAGATAACTTGTCCAGATGAGAGAGATACAAGCAGCTCAAATACCCACTGTGAGGATGCACACAAGATAAAAAACAAGGGATAGTAGAGGGCTCCAGGAAGGCTAAAGCCCAGCAAGGCATTAAAACATTGACAACTTTATCTAGATAGACTAAATCATAAAGTCCATTCTAGAAAGACAACAGTGGGAAGTAACATCACTTAGTATAATATAGGGTTACATCTCAAATTCCATGTTTCAGGAAAGGTATCACATAAACAATATTAAGAAAATTAAAACATCCTCATTTCCTCATTAAAGCTCATCTACTTCAAAGACAAGGAAAGCAGCAGTGAGACTAACAGTCAGGAACTTCGAGTTTTGTACTGTTCATCTAACAGCCAGTTACGTGGCCTCAGGCAAGTCACTTATAAATGGGCTTTAAGTTCTCATACATAGGGCTTGAGCTGAATCTGAAAGGATACATTGGCTCTCCGCCTATGATTCTGTTCACAAACCCACTATTTTGGTATTTTACCTGGTCTTGCAAATGATTCCCAAAGAATTCTATAAATTTAAAATGCAATTTGTTTTTCAGGTTTTCCACTCACTTATTTACCCTTAGCAAAGCCGTGCTAAGTAGCCACCAAATTATTCCTGTTTCTTCCTTCCTTTTTCTGTTACCATTAGTCTGAACAAATCGAAATCACTTGCTTCAATAAACATATTCTCTGTGTTTTTCTTATTTTTTCTAACTTTTTCTAAAGTATCAGGCCAAGTAGAAATGTTTAAAAAGTCGCAGAATTCTTTCAGGCCTACTGTTTGATTTTCATCAGGTCTCAATCGCTATTCATCAGGCTTCCCGTGTGTGTCAGTGATACATTTTATTACCAAGGTAAGCCTTCAGTGCCAAATTTATATTTGGTCATGTCATTGCTACTTAGTAGGATATAATAAAAAATTGAATTTCTACACAAAATCCTAGTCACCAAATCAAAGAACAGGTTGTTAACATTTTTGTTTACTTAGAAATATTTCATTAGATTTCTACTCCAAGCCTCAGTCCAAAAACGGGTGTTTTTACTTTTTTAATTACAGATGTTTCATTTGGAGGCATTAAGATGTATCCCAGGATCCTTTCAGAAAGCAATGCGAGGCCTCCTGGCCTGAGAGGAGGAAAGAGGGCTGGGATTAAGGCAGAATGCTATGAAAGCACATAATTCAAATTCTCAACCCAAAAACTCCCCAAGCAAGAGACTGTCAAAAGTGGCAGGTGATAATGAGGGGCCTGGGAGGATGAGAACAAGTCTCTTGGTCTGGTTGACAAGGAAGTCCCTGGCCTCCAAGACAGGAGATTTAAGGGATGACAGTAGTGGAGACTGAGAGATGATTAGGTGGTGAAAAAGAGAAGGCAAGGAGGAGGCGCAGAGAGACAACAGTCATCTGCGGGACAATGTGGTAAGAAGGTAATTTTTTTCCTAGAAGAAGAAACTTGGGATATGTTTTAGAGAATTGGAAAAATTAATAATGATATTATAACACACTTCAAGACTCATTTTACTATTGAGGTGGTAAAAGAAGGCCTCAGACAAAAAAGAAGAACACAATTTAATATCCTGGATACTTTCCTAATTCTAAAAGGTTTGCTTTGATGGATCATTGAAATCTATGCAGATTAATGGTATTCTTTAATTAGTAGTAAGGGCTAAAAACTTGCTTTATATTATATAACGGATAAGTAATCATAGCTACCAGCCTTATACTAACAGAAGTCTTGCCTTCTATGTTCCTGATATGAGGTCATATGTTGGGAAATAGAATACATGTTTTCCAAATTAGCAATATTTCAGCCTTACCTGATCAAACCTCCTATGTTCTCTCTGGCCTGACTCCAGATCTTCTTCTGAAAGTGACACCAAAGAGTCACGTCGTTTCTCACCACTGAAGGGGTGTCTGAGCTCTTTGGTGTTCGCAGAGTTTACTTCTAGAGATGAAGATGGCTTGTTTTCAACACCAGCATCTCCTGTCAAGCCTTCGAGGCTGAAACTAAACACAGGGCACAAGAGTTAATTCAAAAGGGATACAAAATGCTTTAATTGTATCTCCCTTACTCACGTATTATTTGTGTCAATTAGCAAGACTGTCTGAGAGGGCACTGCAGAAATGAGTACCACCTACCTTTCCCTACAGATCTTGGAATGCTAAGGAAGAACACTGCACTTTGATTTTCTTACCTCATTCAATTTATCCAAGTGTAAGACCCGGCTAAGATCAATTTCAAAATTTTTTTTTCAGTATACCATATGGACAGATCATATTTATCTTATTGATCTTTTATATGTGTTTTTCCTTGAACTAATTAATCTTTGCCAGATTCTAACTCTGCTAACACTAAATAATTAAATGTCACAGAGAAAATATGAACTTAAGTAACTTTCAGAAGGCAAACTGGGAGACTTGCCCTTGGGTTCATTAAGTGGACCTTTATAAATTTGCATTCAGCTACATTCTAGTTGACCTTTATAACTTTACAAGTATGCTTCCACCCCAGAAATCCCAAATATCACCCAGGAGTGTGATCACCTGCGTGCACCTGGCCAAACAACAACTGCTGACAGGCTTTCTGAGAATTGTTAGTTGCAGACAGGCACATACAACACTTTAAAGAACAAATGCCGAAAAGCTCCCAAGTCTAAAAGTTGTAATTGTTTTGTCTGGATACTGGTAAAGGAAACAAACAAACAAACACACAGGGTTAGGTTTTTTTTTTTTTTTTTTGAGAGAGAGTCTCACTCTGTTGCCCAGGCTAGAGTGCTGTGGTGTCAACATAGCTCATAGCAACCTCAAACTCCTGGACTCAAGCAATACTTCTGCCTCAGCCTCCCAAGTAGATGGGACTACAGGCATGCACCACCATGCCCGGCTAATTGTTTCTATATATTTTTAGTTGTCCAATTAATTTCTTTCTATTTTTAGTAGAGACGGGGTCTCATTCTTGCTCTGGCTGGTCTCAAACTCCTTATCTTAAAGGATCCTCCTGCCTTGGCCTCCCAGAGTGCCAGGATTACAGGTGTGAGCCACAACGCCCAGCGAGGGTTGGGTATTTTAAATGGGATTTCAGTGATAAAGATTTTGTAGCTTGTAAGGGGCAAAGCATTTTCTGTAAGCAGGAGGCAACAGACGGAGGTCAGTGATCTATCCTCCTTGGGGCTGCTAACCAGAATAATTCACATCATTACAACTGCAGGGGAAACTTCTTTAAAATAAGGAAGATCTTGGTTGTAGCTGACCATGTTAACAACCAACTGGAATCGAATATGGGGCGATACTGAAGCTATTTAGTTACCTCTGCCCAGGGAAAACTGTACAGATAATTGCTTCAATTAAGTTCATACATGCCAGTCCAGAGGGCTTGTATTTGCTTTTTTATTTTTTTCGTTTTGTAAATCACTTACTATAAACTGAAGCCATACGTCTCTATTTTCTCCAGGGGTAAATTAAACAATGGATTTGTTTTTCTTATTTCAATATGGCAACAGAAATCATGACTAATTACAAGTAAATGTCTCTGTAAAAGTAATTCTCAATACTAGGGATAGGAGGGGCTAAGTGACGAAGAAATTTAGTTTTCTGTTGTGAATTACTGAAAAGCCTGAGAAAACCAGATCTATGCTTACTGCGAAAGTTAATCCTGAAAATGTTTTAGTAATTAAATCTGGCTGCTTAGTTGAAAGAAGAATATGAAACACTGAGGAGTCTCTGAATTTGGAATTTAAGGAGACTGATGGATTTGGAAGCGTAACAGAAATCAGTACATGTTACTAGTTGCCCTGCTTGTCTCACTGTTTTCCTTAGGATCGGAAATCAAGACAGGCCCAAAAAGAGAGAAGTGGTCTCCCATACCAAAGAGACAAGTCTGCAGAAACACCAAATCTACAGCCACTTGAGCAAACAGGATGTCTCAGGGTACATCATCCCCCTTCTTGGCTGCACCCCTTCAACTGGGTTAGCAGTACCCACAGCGGAGACAAGGAGACACTTGCTCACAGACGAAGCAGGCTGCCCATACGCATCCCAGCCACACAGAAGCCAGCTCCAAGCCGAAAGCCCAGATGCCATATTTTATGTTTCCCCGTTTGGTGGCTGGACACATGACAATACCATACCTTCTGTAATTAAAGTCAGCACTCAGGGCAGCAGAGTATTGCACACCAGAGGGACACCAGCTCATACTGGGGATGACATCAAAGAAACAGAAATGCAGGAAGAAAAGAGGAAATAGGGATGGGGTTATTAGGTTTAAAAAGAAAAGGCATAGTTAGAGACAGACGGATTTACTTAATCATCAAAAAATTTAGGAATGTAACATCGAGAATTTAGAAAAAGCCTGCAATAAGAACCATGGAAACTTAAAATTGTTCTCTTGATGTCCGTCTAGATAGTCTTTTAGAAAAGACTACATGAGCTCTTAATAGGATAAACAGTTAAACTGAAACCCATGAATTTCTTCTATGAACCCTTGGCAAAGAGGCCGCCCCACCTGTGGCTTCCCATCAGATATTCTCAGAGTACTTCAACCTCCACTGCCAGGACAATCTCCATACACCCCACCATCCCACAGCACCCTTACCACAGCACCTCTAATCCTGGACCAAAAGAAACAATGACAAACTGCACTGCGCTGGGCTCACTGAGTCACGGGGTTTTTTCATGTGTTTCCATTAGGGATCCATCCTACACCAGACAATTCATAGATTTTGCATGATAAGAATATTCCATCAACACTCACATCCACTTTCAAACCCTACTCACTAGGCTATTCTGCTAAAGATAAAGGGGGAGATTTTATCGAGTTGAGTTAGAAATGTGTCTTTCTTTTTTCATTTTTAAGCTTATAAGCCTTTTTCCCCACAAAATAAGAAAAAAAACCCCACTTGATTATCTACTTCCTTGATTATCCCAGTACTGGTATCTATTCTCAAGTAGCAGGGACAAACAATCTGGGCCTGGAAATGCTAAGTTAATACAACCAGCTAAAAAAGTAACCAATTCAAAATGCAGGGTACTATATGAAGGGAACTGCATCGAAAAATTAGGATTTCTGATTAACAAAAGCTATCATTTAAAAAATATATGGCAATTTGGGCCTTAAAGTTCTAAGTGAATTTAGACAATTCTGCTTTTGTTTTCTTTCAGAGGGGGATAAAAACAGAGCTCCTGGATGACAATAAAACCACTCAATAAAACCACTCAGCTCCCTCCTGAATCTTGCAGCTGGGGAGGCCTGCAGACACTAAAAACACCTATCCTGAATATTCTAACTGGCCTGTTTTCTTGTCAAGTGGGTTTCTTTTTTTTTGGCAGAGGAAAGGAGATAGGGAAAATGGTAGAAGGATGTAAGAGCTACCCTATGGCTCTTCTAAAAGTTTTAAAATACCTTTCAAAAATAAACAGTATAAATGATTTTAAATCAGATTAAATTAATAGTGTAAAGCTCAAAAGTACAAAAGCAGAAAGTAAAACTGCACAGCTGAGACACCTCTTAATTATGGTGAGGTGGATTTCACTGACTTACAATGTACTTGTGTGAGAAGCAAGATATATTTTACAAATGCACACAAGACTCCAAAGTTTATTCTTTGAAATTAATTTTAAAACCTCCAAACAGTTAATAAATAGGCATATTTTATCTAAATATCCAACTTCTTTTAAAAAAGAGAATGTGGCAAATCAATAACTGAACACAAATTGCCTAACTATCATTCTTAAAAATAATGTCCTACAGATTTAAACATCCCTTTTAGTCTCAGAATATGACAGTAATGTGGAAGACTGGGATGAAATGTAAGATGAAGAGAATGAAAAGCAATGAAGAAATAGGAAGAGAGACGTAATAGCTTTTCTAAGGATCCAGGAAGAAAGCTGCAATGCCTGTCCTTCCTTGCAGCAGAAAACTCCTTTCACAATTAGGAATGTTTTTGAGAGTATCCTAATCTCCTCAATTAGTGCAGGTAATATTTAATGGTTCTTCAGCTTTAAGATTTAGAAAGTTCTAGATTTTTTTTTTTTTTAAATCCCTCCCCCCTTTTAATATTTGTTGGAAGGTTTCAATTTTATAAAATTTTAAATCATACATCCTATAAAAATAGTTTCACTCAGGGTGAAACTGTACTTGGGGTCATTTATGAAATTATATACATGCTAACTGAGACTCAGCCAGCAGCGTGTCACCTGCTACCTTGTCATCCAGCGCATGTTCTTAATAAGTTCTAATTGAAGAGCTTTAACAGAGCCGGACAAATGTATCTCCAAAAGGTTTTGGTTATCCTCTACTGAAAAAGGCATTTAACAACTTGTTCCCTGAAACGGTAACTTAACAGGAGTCATGATTATCTGAAATTCATGAGAATATCTGAATTTAAGCTCAGTTTTTGCCTACAATATGGAATTAAAGAGAGCATCCACTTGAAAAAGACAAAGTAGGAAAGATCATTTGCCCACTTCCCAAAAAACAAGTTCAGCTAATAGTTAAAAACACTTCTTTACAAATGTCTCCTAATATGAGAAGCTAACAGTAATAATAACCTTAATTTGGGAATTTCTAAGTTATCTTTCCAAACAATGGAAGAAAGGTCACTAACAACTTTTGAATGAGAAAAGTAAAACAAAGTATTTGAAAAAGTAAAAAAGCAAATCAGCACTCTGATTAGAAAAGACTTCTCAACTTATAAATCACTTATTTTTACCAATACTACCCAACAAATAAAAATTAAAAAATTCAAAGACTGAGAGATCAACTTATGCCTCTTATTTGCTTTAAGAAATGACTACATCAGCAATGAAGTGGAAACTGTCAGGTGGCTTAGTTAATAAAGTTTTTCCTCATATTATTAAAGAATGTTTTGAAAATATTTTAGGGCCTATGCATGAACACACACACACACTTCTTGTTCTTTTGTGGAGAGAGAAAAATAGTACTCCCCCAGGTCCATTAGATAGGTATAACATAGACAATTCTTTTAATTCTCCTAGAAAAAGTTGGGTGAGACCCTGTCATCAAGGTCATGTGAACACCAATAGCACAAGATGAAAAAAACATTCCTTAAAAATTTTTTTCGAAAAATAAAAATAGGATAAACTCCAAATTAAAGAAACTATTTTACATGGACGTTGGCAACTAATAAATATCTGTATTTTATTTGCCTGAATTAGATGTGACATTATCTAAAAATAGATTAAGCAGAATGAGATGCTTGTTAGTATATGCTTAGAGATGACACGGTTAATCCATCAAGTTAGTGAACTCTGTACCTTCTCCTATGAATGGGAGGTCTCCTGACAACATCCCCAAGAACTCGCATTGAACTGAAAATGAACAGTGGAAGAGGTCAGTGTCGCAGGTGAAACAAAATGGGACACAAATGCATGAAACATACAGACACCACAATGGGAAGAGAGACAATTTCCAAAAAGAAACAGCACAGGAGGTAAGAGAATGAAAGAATGTGGAATAAAAAAATATCTGAACCAAAAAGGCCTGACAATTTCTGTGGAAGGCTACTTTGCTCTCTCCTTGCTCTAAGGAGTTAATCAGGAGATAAAAGTTAGGAAGTTTATTAAATTATGAAAGTAAAAGGATCAGGAAAAAATTACCACTCAAAACGTTAAAAGAATCTGAAATTCAGGTTACATTATATGCAGGTAAAACTGTAAGAATTAGCCAAACTAATTAAAGTGACAAATGAAACCTGGCTCTCATTCCATTATCTCCAGAGGTATTAGGACAGTGGTGCTAAGTAACCCTTAATCCTAAATTCAAACAGGAGGTCCCAGGACAATATACAGGTTCAAAATATAAATAACTGAGGTAACTGGGTTCTAATCTCAATTTAGTCTTAAAATAACCATGTAATCTTGGGCAAATCATTTAATTTGAGCTTTAATTTCCTCATCTGAGCTACATGATCAACACATGCAGCTCTAAAACCAAAGTTGTAACAAAAGGATCCATCATGAGTTATAAAGAAAAATGGGCTATATATAAAACAGCCCTCATTCCTTGATGCTGTTATCACCTAAGACAAGCATGTTCTGTCAAGAAGTTACCCTTGCTTCAGGAAGAGAATTCTGGCTGTAGGGATCATACCCTATGTCCTTATATTTTCTGTTGTAAATGCTTAAAAAAAAAAGTACAGGATTAATAAAACTGGGAAGGAATGTGTTTAGGAATTGCTTTTTATATAATCCAGGATTTCTTATGTATAAAACAAGTATTTCACAGATACACCACTTATTTTTAAGGTCAGCACCCTGAATGCCACCATAGAATAATATGAAATTATAGAAAGAGAATTTGACAAAGTGACCAGAAACCTGGATCCTACTGACCTTGGATAATTGATTTAAACAATTTGCAGTAGTCTTCTTATCTGCAAACAGGGGATAATATCACCTGACTCGCGCAGGGGACTGAAAAATTACATGAGAAAATGTGTTGTTTAAAAAAGTGTCTAAAAAGACTAGCAAATTAGGAAAGTGTAAGAAGGCATTACTGTGAGCTCCTAGAAGAAACGGATTTTGTCTTGTTTATTCCTTGTTTAGGTATCACCTTATTTAGGTATATGCCTAGCATATAGTCGGTGTTCCATATATGCTGCCTGAATGAACGAGTGAATGAATGTGATCAGCTGACACGTACTTATGGCCATAATATTGTCAGGAGGTGGAGGAATTTAAAATAAAACTAAGCCAATAATTTGCTCCAGCTGAGCTGTTTACAACAATTGTTTTAAAACAATTGTCAGCCTCCTCTCTTAGCTATTTTCATTATTAAGAAAGTAGTTTTGGAATAGGCACACTCTTGTAAATGTAGTAGGCACCATGGCACTCGTTCTTTAGAGCTAAAACCACCCGCTAAAATTCATCTAGACAGCCAGTGGTCAGAAGCCAAATCCAACTGTTCTTCTTGCAGCCTGCTCCTAAACTGAAGGACTAACACTGGGCAAGGCGGTATGACACATGGAAAAATACCAGTATTTTAATGATATGTAATAAGTCTTATGTTCTCTTTCTGCATTAGAAAGAGGCTTTAGTTCTCAGAAAGCACTTTAAAACTTAGTGTTAAGACTGTTTGACATGACACTATTCCAGTATTTTCTAATTCATGAATTTCATCAATAAATTTGGTAAGAATAAACATTACAGTGTATTAAACACTCACCATAGGACAGTTATATTTTATTATTATGCACAATAATGAAGGTATTTTACAGATGAGAAAATTAAAGCTCAGAGGGGTCCGGTGACTTGCCTAAGGTCATCTCCACAGTACATTACAGAGCTGGACCCTGAATACAGAGTTTCCTACTTGCAAAGCCTATATTCCTTCCTACACCATGGTGTCTCCTAAATGCGTTTACCAACAGTAATACCAAATCAGAAACTTCTCAAAAGCGAACAGATACTGGGACACTAAACAAAGAGCCTTCCACCTCACCTCCGTAGGTTCATTTCTCCGTCACTGGCTGCATTTTTCCCAGGACCCCAGCTGTGCCTCCGGAAGGGGGACAGAGAGCGCATGGAGCTCCTCAGGACGGAGCAGTTCGCAGGCACCTCGGTGATGCTGTCCATTTCCTCCTCCTCCATGTCACCTGGGCCAGCAGGCTCACTCTCACTCTCTCGACCGTCGGCTCCCACCCCAGGACTGTAGAAGCCATCAAGGCTTTGTCGATCTCTGGACCGGTTCGACTTTGAAATCTGGGAGAGGGACACATCACTGCCATGAGAAGAATGTCGATCCAGGGAAGCCGTGTCATCAGTGGAAGAACTGGATCCGGTGATATCACATATCAGCTGCTCTTCCTCGGGCTGTAACAGGCAGAAAGCATGTATGGTTGAAACTAGCAGGACCAAGCAGAAGGCTTTAGTATGCCACATGAAGCCAGTGGCTTCACAGCGAGTCTCAGACAGGCAAGATTATAAATGGTTTTAAATAGACAGTTGTTTTTTTTTAAAGCATGATCACAGTTGGATTCAAATCCCCTTTGGGGGAGGGGGGGCTGCAGCCTTAGGGCCACATGTGGCCTTCTTGATCCTTGACTGTGGCCTTCTGATTGAATCCAAATTTTACAGAACAAATTCTTTTATTAAAAGAGGTGCAGCAAAGAAAGATGAAGCTTTTTTTTTTTTTTTTGCCTCCTTTGGTGCTTAAAAAAGCCTTTAAATCAGAAGGCTTCAGGTTCCCCACCCTGCCGGGGTTCTTTCAGTCAATACCTACCATAAAGCAAAACGAAGGGAACCCATTTGTCTTTGAGGTTTCTGCCGTAAGAAAACTACATTCCTATCGGATTGGGGTTAACTTTTTTCACAAACTTTAACTGAAAATAAAGCAGTCTGGTTGGCTACAATAATGTACTGAAGTTAATATTCCAAAAGCAAGTCTGTGATTTCTTTTAGTGGCCTTTTGAAAAATGCAGAATAGCTTACGATCCCAACTAAAGTTTGCCACAAATGCCTAAATATCTGTTAGAGATACTTAATGGAAGAAAGCTATTCCTTTTTCTATTTTCACTGAGAATTGGCTGAGTGTTATGAAGCCAGATCACACAGTAAATAATCAATCCTGGCAATGAGGTCTTTGACAAAGTGATGGTGCCCTTACCCTGGCCAATCTCTAGAGCCTAATAGGAACTGTGCAACTTTGGTCTGGTTGTCCTATTAAAAGGCTTCTTGTTGTCTCTACTTATTGAGAGAACCAGAACACATAATTTGATGGGTGAAGGAAAGATGAGCTTCATGGCATCCAAAAGGCCAAATGATAAACAAGTGTGTAAGATGCATGATCATCCTCTCAGTTACTATGTGGGCACAGTTTAAGTATTTTCATTTTGTATTTTTACAGGATAGGGGTGTCAGGAAACAGGGAAGGGCATTCTATGATTTTTTTTTTCTTTTTTCACAATATTTTCCTAATTAGCCAGTCTACTCAATGTTTTAATTAAGAATAAAGAAATTCATAGTTCTTTGAGAAAGATTAAAAAAAAAAAACATGAGCACTATTGAGCCATTTTAGCTTTGGAACAGAAAACAAGCCCTATTCTGTAAGGAGACTCTTTTTAAAGGTTTAATAGAACATAACACTTCAAAAGCACACCACCTTCTAAAAGCACTGTTCCTGTCTTTTGGGCCGTATCTCACCAGCCGATGTAAGATGCTTTCCCATTCTGTAGAATCTAGTTTCCTTAAATTGGTTTTTAAATAAGGTGTGAAATGCAACTGAGAGAGAAGATGTAGGGGATCACTACACAGGTCAAACACTGAGGCCCAGATTGTCTAACGGACTCTCCCAAGTACACGGCGTACAGCAAAATCAAGATTTGAACCAAGGTTGACTTCAACTGAAAATGCCCTATTCTTTTATCTCAGTCATCTTTTAAAAATCTGATAAGAACAAGATCTCAAAGTCAGTATCAGAAACATCCCTTCACAGGGTCACACTACAAAATAAAACCACTTGGACCAAGTAAACTCTAAAATAGGGTAGGTATTACTTTAAAATAAAATTATTGGCTGGGCGCAGTGGCTCAAGCCTGTAATCCTAGCAACTCTGGGAGGCCGAGGCGGGCAGATTGCTCGAGGTCAGGAGTTCAAAACCAGCCTGACCAAGAGCGAGACCCTGTCTCTACTACAAAATAGAAGAAATTAATTGGTCAACTAATATATATAGAAAAAATTAGCTGGGCATGGTGACGCATGCCTGTAAGTCCCAGCTACTCGGGAGGCTGAGGCAGCAGGCTTGCTTGAGCCCAGGAGTTTGAGGTTGCTGTGAGCTAGGCTGACACCACAGCACTCACTCTAGCCTGGGTAACAAAGCGAGACTCTGTCTCAAAAAAAAAAAAAAAAATTTACTGACTATTCTTTTTAAGTAATGAGGGACTGAGGTGGGCATCCTACAGGGTTCCTCCTTGTGGGGCCACTCTCCATAGAGAAGGACAGTGTAAGTGGTCATGAATCTTAGGGGACACTTCTAGAACACCTTCGCTTTCTCACTGTACTGGGCTGAACAGTGTCCTCCTCAAATATGTGTCCTCAGAATGTGACCTTATTTGGAAATAGGGTCTTTGCAGATAAAATTAGTTAAGATGAGGTCACACTGAAGTAGGGTGGGCCCCTAATCCAACATGAGTAGCGTCTTAGCAGAGGAGACACAGAGAGGCGCACAGGGAAAGTGCCTTGTGAAGAGAGAGGCAGAGACCGGAGTGATGCATCCGCAACCTGAGGAATGCCAAGGACTGCCAACAAGGAGAGAGGCACGAGACAGACTGTCCCTCAGAGCCTTCAAAAGGAGAGCAGCCCTGCCGACACACTGATTTTAGGACCTCTGTCTTCCAGATCTATGAGAGAATACATTTCTGTGGTTTTAAGCCACCCAATTTGTGATAATTTGTTACAGCAGCCCTGAGAAACTAATACACTCACCCTTAACCGCCTAAATTTCTAATTCTCAAAACAATACCAAGGGACAATCAGTAAAGCAAAGTGTGTGACAAGCTTGTTCCAAACACACAAGAAAGGCTTCAAAAGAAACAAAAGCTCTTAAAAGTTTTCATTTGTCTATTTATCATATATTCTTCTTAGAAGTTAGTTAGCTCTTCCCAGTTTGGAAATAACTCACAGACAACAGAATAGGTGCTCTTCACTCTGGCATCCAGGCTTGGAAGGACCTGCCCTTTCTCTGGCACTTTACTAATCTCACACTCAAAATAAAATGAGAAAATCTTTGGTGGTCTGTTTATACACATTTTAAACAAGGAGAGCTCTGCCTACAATATGTCCTCAACACAGTCTTTCTTCCTGGTATGTGCTATGACATTTCCTGGTGTGTGCCTTTAACTTATCTCACTGAAAAACAACCAGGGATTCTTCACTCTAACTACCTGATTTCTTCAGTCTTGCTTTCCTGGTAAGAATAAGGTTCATACAGAATAGTATTCTTACAATGAAGTATTTTTACTGTACCATGCAGCTCTCATTATGAGCTGGTGGCTATTCCATGAAAAAAGAAAAGCAGGAAAAAACTCAGAACTGAGCTCAGTTATTAAATACTAAAACAAATGATTTTCATTAATCCTGGACTAAATCTAAAAGAGGCTCTAAATTATGTATTCCCAAGACTTTTAAGTGTTTTCAAAAGAACTTCCCAAATTCATCAAGTCTTTATACTATTCTTACAGAAAATAGTGGCCTCATCACAAATCAAACCCAGACTAGTCACAGCCTTTCTATAGCGAGGGATGTGACTACAGTTAAGTTACTTCTTCATTTTGCCTTTCCATCTAATATGAAAGACTTAAATTAGATCAAAGAGGTTAGAAATTAGTATGAGGTCTGTTGAAAGGTTTTATCTATTTAAATCATGTATGATAGAGGAAAAAAGAAAAGCAGAGTTTTAAAAATTCTTTCCTAATCCCTGAATCTGTTAGTGCTGACATTCTTAGAGAGATCTGCCAAATATTAATAAGAGATATATGAACAATCACTCCTCCCATTCTGTCTTCCCTTCCCCTGCAAAAGGATAAACAAAAGTACTGAGTTTTGGGTATGCTGTTTCTCCATTATATATTGGAAGAAAAAAAACGTTATGGCTTCTGACATATATCAGAATGTTCCATGCCTAAGATCTGAAGCCTCTCTTAAGAGTTCTCAAGTTTATATGTTAATCTTTCTTTAAGAGATCATTTATCTTAAAAAGTCTGCTAATTAAATACTTTCAGGGACATAAAATATTGTCCCATTGTCTAGAGGAATGGTGCCATGAGATCAGTGTAACTAAAACATTTTATTTTCTTAGAGTCAAAACTAGGTGATATTATAAGTCTTATAAGTAGATGACCAAAACATAAATCTCTGCTAAATACAAGATTTTTTTCCCCCTTAATATGCAGTTGTTGTTAGGCAGGGATGTATTAAGATTCAATTAGGGCAAAGAAACAGAAGAGACCTGGACAGACAGACATAAGAAAGAAGGGGTGTGTGGGAGTTGTGTATGTGTGTGATAAAGAAAACACATTGGGGAAACTAAGACAGAGTCTATCGCTGAGATTGACACAAAAATCCTTCCTCCCTTGAATTTTCACAATTGGTTTTCCTCCTGCATATGGAAGAACGGAACACAAAAAAGTGTCATCTCTACCATCAGCTCTTTTTCCTTTGGGCTTATGTAATACTGAAAATCTGCAAAGGCATCTGGCTAGCAAAAGTTCCCACGAGTCAAAGACAGAATGCCTACAAAAGAATGTGCTCTCTACGCAACATACAAGTGTGAGTGTGGCTGCTCCTTACTAGAGCCCCAGTCTAAAGAGATGGCTCTGGCTTGGGGGCAGGAGCTGAGGTGACAGATTGACCCAATGATACTGCTCTGCTTAATCTCTGGTCAAATAAGCTACCAAGACTTGAACTGCAAAATAATTATATGGTTAAATAAGATGATGATGCTGTCTATATAAAGTCCGATAATCTATTACTACTCTTAAATATATGTGCAAAATAACTGTGACATAAATTTGAATAATTATTACTTATTGCCATGTGGGGCTCTACACCAAATTACTTAGATATACATATTATTTCTTTTAATCCTGGCAGCTATTCAATTTAATATCATCATTCCGACTTTATAGGTGAGAAATCTGAGGTTTAGCGAGGTTAAATAATGAACTCAAGATTCTAATTTAACTGCTCTAAGGAGCATATATATATATTTTTTTTCTTTTTCTTTTTTATGTTCTTCAGATGATTCTAGGTACAGCTAGGATTGAATCCCACTGTTATAAACTACAGAGCTGTTATAAAAATGTTTTAAATAAAACTGAGATGTATCCTAGTCCTATACGTAAAAGCTAAAAACTATAAAACTTCCAAAAAAACCACATCAAGACTGGAGGCAGGCAAAGCAATAATAGGACAGGACACAGGAAGCAAAAACCATAAAAATTAGTAAGTTCTACTTCATCAAAATGAAAAACTTTGGCTCATCAAGACACCATTATGAAAGTGAACAGGCAAGCTACAGACTGGGAGAAAATATTTACAAAACATAAATCTAACAAAGGACTGGTATCCAGGATATATATATAGAACTCTTACTTCTCAACAATTAAAAAAAACAAACAATTGATTTTTTAAAATGGGCAAACGATCTGAACAGACACTCCATAAGTGTGTCAATAAACACACATAAATGTGTTTAACATCATTAGTTGTCAAGGTAATACAAATCAAAATCATAATAAGACACTACATGCACACCAGAAATGCTAAAATTAAAACAATTATGTATGTTGATAAGGATATGGAACTAGACTTCTCATACATCACTGGTGAGAACCTAAAATGGTACAACTAGTTTGGAAAAAGGTCTCTTTCTCAGGAAACAAAACCTACACCTACCATATAATCTAACAACTCTACTCCTAGGTATTTATTTACCAAAGAGAAATGACATTATTTAGATTCCATTTATATGAAGTTATGAAACAGGGAAAACTAATCTGTGGTGGGAAAAAATGAAAATAGTCGTTGCTCTTGGGGGTTTGAATGGAGACTGGGAAGGGGCAGAAGGAAACTTTCCAAAGTGATGCTGACAGTCCACCTGCTGATGCGGGTTTGGACTGCAAAAGTGAATGAATGCATCATCAAAAGTCACTGAATGGTACCTTCAAGGTGGTGCATGTAATTGCATGTATATTTTACACACCAAAAAAGGCTATAAATAAACACTGAATTCTAAGTGTTTAGAGGTAAAGTGTATTGATATTTATAATTTATTTGGAAATGCATGAAAGAATTTAGGTGAACTGGTAGGTGGATAGAAGGATGGAAAGATACATAGTTAGGTAACAAAGCAAATACAATAAAAAGTTAAATGCAGAATCTAGGTGGTGGGTATATGGGAGTTCATTACATAATTCTTCAAATTTTCTATGTTTCAGTATTCTCATAACGAAACGTTAGGGGACAGTGCCTGACTAGCTTTCTTAACCAGAGTTACATTATATAGGTAAGATATATATGTGTATAGAGAGGTATAAACATTACATCTGCTAATATACATAAAAGTATAAACACTACTGTATACTTTATATCTTATTACTACACCTGAAGAAATCATGCTTAGCATTGCCAAAATATTAGCCCCTTTAATTTTCATTCATTTATTCACCTAATATTTATTATTATTATGTTATACACAAGGTACTCTACTATATGCCTTGCAAAACAACAGCTCATATTTTAAACATCTAATACATGACAATCACTTAATCCATTTACATACAATATTTTATCTAGGAATCTTAAGTATCTGATCACAAACATTATTCCTGATTCACCGTTCTAAAACTCTAATAATTTCAGTACTTGTGCACAGGCAATTATAGTTTTTTTAATCTGGATTCTGCAAATACCTTTACTTTTATCCCTAAAAGGTTTATTTAAAAAGATAATTGGTTTGGTGATCAAGCACTTTGGAGCTAAGTATGGCATACGATAGAAAGGATGTTACCTTAAGGTTCTGTATCTTAGAAAAATTACTTTGATTTTTTTAATCAATTGTAGATATGTCTTATAACCTAGAGTAGAAATAAGTGTAAAGGCTTTGATTTTCCTCTCTTTGGGAAAAAAGGCACAACTATTAATATCTCCTGTGGACTTTAATTATCCTTTTGGATAGCTGAGTGGCCTAAATCATGTATACTCTAAGATCATAATTCCTCACTTAGCTAGTTGCCAAAAGAATCCCATTTTCTCACTTTGAAAACAAAGTCTAAGTTTCATGCTGCTAAGGAAAAGAATGACCTCAGAAACCAGCAAATATTCGTAAGAATAAATATGAGGCTCATAACACTCACCAAAGAGTCATATTTACTGGGAGGCATACAGAAAGACATGGTTAAGGTGAAAAGTTCATGACAAACATTACAGACTGTTAAAGAGACCTCTGTAAGGCCAGAGTCACACAAATGGCTGCAGGAAGTGACCTAATGCACCACTCATGGTTCACAGAAAAGGCTGTTGTAACATCCTGCCTACAGATTATCTGGAGAAGAGGGTTAGACTTTGGGAAAAAACTCTGGTCATTCTGATATTTCACCAGCACATGTTGTGTGGGTGACCACTGAGGAAGACGTTTAAGGAAGTAGCTGATGGCCTGTCTGCCGGTGCCATGCTTTTACATAAATCATTGGGTATTACAGAAGGCTTTTGGAGATTGAGAGTAAAATTAAAAAAAAAAAAAAAAAAAAGGAACAGGTTTTAGAGTCAGGACTATGTACAAACCTCAATTTTGTTATTCACCTGCTAAGTAATTCTCGATAAACTTCTTTACAAATCAGAGCCTCTACTTCCTCAAGGTAAAATGGAGGTAAAATCACCTATCTGTTAGGGTTGCTGGGCACATGAAATGAGATCAAATATATAAAGAATTCAGTTTAGTGCCTAGCGTATAGTAAGCACTCTGTCAACATTAGTTTCTCTCATTTCCATTTCACAAGTTAGCCCTTGGTTTTATTAATTCTAGAGAAAACATTTACTGCAAAGCCAGTCCTGCTCACAAACTACTTTGGCAGAGCAGAAATACTAAGAGGAGAAAAATCCTCCCAATCTCTTCCCAGGTCATTTAGACAGTCTCATGCATGCATGAAGAATGAAAGGGCATCCACCATTTTTGGTTTTCCCTAAGCACTGGTATGTAATGTAGGTAAAAGTTTATTTGGAATGTGTGCTTCAACTTAAAAAAATTTCAACTGTCTAGTTTTCTTGAAAAGAAAAAACCTGCCCAACCTAGCACAGGCCGTTTGTATGAACAATCTCCTAAATGCTTTTGGGAGACTAAATAAGAAGGTAAAATATAGGAAATTCTAGTTTTCCTTAGCTAGGAAAATCATCCAGTTTGGCAACCAGAAATAACTATTATTCTGCAGAGATGGTAACATCCAGGGACAAGCTGTTATGCACCTAAGGAGGTAGCAAGCATTTCCTAATGAAGATAACTCAATTTAAAAAATTTTTTTACTATAAAAATTTTCAAATACACACAAATGTTTAACAAATCTCTGTATCCATGACCCAGTTTCAATTATTATCAATAATCCCATTTTAAAGCTAGAATTCAGACAAAAGCAGCATGTTTTTGGAGACCCTCAGAATGGTATTCCCCCTTGTCCTTAACAATCAAAACCTCAAAGTCACAGTGGAAATTACCCTAATTCTGATATTTAAAAAACAACAACAAAAACCCCTACTGATTTCCCTCTTCCTAAACTTACAGAGAAAGGTAGATCTTTTCCAACATGTGGAGTTTTTACTTTATAGAATTCCTTGAGTCAATTCACTATGAGTAACACAATGATAGAAATCCTGAAGTTTGTACCATAATCTCTCCCAGGGACCTTTGGAAGACCGTAAGAACGAGAGAAAAGGAACAAGGTAAAAAAGGGTTAGGGACGGCCAAAAATGAGAGGAGAAAGTACACAGGGTACATTCATAGAGGCTTCAATATGTTCCAGATTTCCAGAACGTTAAGCCTCCATTCTTATATCATAACTTCTAAACATAGCAACACCACACCACACCACCTTGGATAATTTAATCACCCACTAACACAACTGCTCTCACCACTTCTCCAAAGTCAGCATAAAATCAGAACAGTCTTCCTCTCAGCTGCCACAATGTTTCTGTCCCTTTACCCCCTTACTATTAAGAAAACCACTTGCAGCACATAATTGAGCACCATTTACTGTCTCCGCTGTGGGAAAGCCATCTCTCTATTCTTATCAGGGGACAAAACAGAACGTGCTGCAACTAGAAAGAAATACAAGCAAAAGAAAGCAATCCATAGCCATCCCCCACCTCCCTTAGACAGCCTCAAATTATATGCAAACAGGAGCTGATTCATACGGATGAGTGGTTCGATATGGAGAAAGCTTGGATTCCTTAGCAGAGACCTAGAAAATTCCAATTAAACAGACTAGATGGGAGGGGTGATATCATCACACTCAACAGCAAGCTCCAGGCCTAAACACATTCATCAGAAATGACTCTATGGTTAGTTTATACACATGACATCATATTGTCTGAGCTGCGGTCCCTTCCTGCCCACTGAAAAGTGTTCAATGTCATCTGACTTAATTCATTCTAAAGAAACTTCCATTTCTTTAGACTTTAATATAAACTTCAAAACCTGCCATGATTCTGCAGAAAATAAATTTGCTCAATGCCTTATAGACCCTGGCAACCTGAGGTTTCCTTCTCCAAAAGGTAGTATTTACACTGCCCTGAGAGTGAGTGAAGCCCTATAAGACTAGCTGGACCACAACCTACCAGCAGGAGTTACACACTGAGGGAAACAGTATGCTTGGGGAAGACAATGAGCACAAGAGAAAGGGACAAACAAGGTGGTAAAGGGTTGGGAAGCCCAATCAGGAACAGGAGAGCTGCTGGACAAAATGAAAGGAAGGGGACTTCCCCCCCAATACCTTTGGGAAGATGATGCTGTCCATTTCATCACTGGGTGAGTGAAAGAGGTCAGAATCACTCCCAGATTCTCGTTTAAGTACATCTTGTTTTGAAGCACACTTTCTGTCCACTCCAACATCCAAGAAGTTCCCACATTCTGAAAAAGAAAATTTATTCAACCAATACTTAAAAAGAAAAAGTACTTTCTTTTCATCCCAGCAACTAGCTTTTTAAATCTTTCTCTTTCTTCTCTTCCTTCCTTTTTTCAATATTAAGAAGCTATAAAGAACACAATCAAATTAGTAGCTTTCAGCTCTGCTACTTCAATTCTAAGTTAATATTGTTATTATAGGACAATCATGAGTCTGCATGTTTATCTTTAGAATGATAAAATGATCATTTGGCATCATATTCTACCTATATTTAGGTACCTAAATGGTAATGTTTTCCTTCTGGTAGTTAGGGAATTTTTTTCTTTTGCCATCAAATCTGAAGTCCATTACAAGGAAACTATGTGATTAAGGGTTTGTGGCCAATTTCTGTTTTAAGATTAAAATTCTTTCTGGAAATTTGTCACCTTATCAAGGGGGGGGGCATACCTAATAAACACATCAGTGTATTAAACTTATGGGTAATAATAGAAATATAATTTAACTTTTCCTAACTTAAGTAGATCTCACATTAGGGGAATAATGTGCTGAAGCACAAAAATGTATCTTCTAGAATCTGTTTTCAGTTCAATATCTAGAAAGAAGACTCCAGAGAACCAAGGGAGGGGTCTTTGCCAAAACTATTACACTAGTACATTGAGGAATACTGAAACCTTCGTATCTTGAAATTAGCAAGGTATGACCTATTCTTTCCTATTAACTTTGTAAATAAAGGAGACACGTGACTTGGCAACAATAGGGTTAAAGAGATTTGGAAATGGTGAAACCAGGCACCCAAAATGTCAATTAGTGAGTAGGTATCAACCTCCTTTCAAGAAGTTTTGAAGGAAAGAGTTGTACATTTCCATTTTAGTAAGCATTTTAATGTGTGACTCGGGCAGACATTTAAGCATACTTTCTCTAATTGGCAGGTGACACTAAGTGATAAGGGGCAGAGTAGAAAACCTGGCTTCCTTGCAGTTTGTGAGAACTCTACCTGGAGGTTTTCACCAAAAGCAAATTCAAGAAGAACTGACAATACAAGGTGAGGGCAAAACAAACAAAAACCCACTAAGTTTTAGGTTCTACAATACATAGTGTACTAGAATCCAAAATAGGGACAGCCTTTCACTATGTGCTATCTGGAACATACCCACAGGGTTGTGGCTTGTTCCTAGATAACATTTAAATCAGAACATTGATAAATAAAAATATGTACAGAGTAATGAAACAGTGAAAACATCTGAGATACACTCAGCTTGCAGAGGAGCATGAAGAAAATCTGCCTAAGGGCGGACTTAGCTCCCCTTTGTGCTGTTCCAGGGGCAAAGCAAAGACCACTGAGTGTAAGCTGCAGACCCGCACTGGGGCAGGGCTTCTGGGTTTGGGCAGCCTCACAGAGCAGTGAGGATCAACATATCAGAAAGGTTGGAGCAGAGACTAAATGACTATGGAAGACACTACAGAAAAGGTATCTACATAGAGAGTGGACTAAATAACTTCTAATGTCTTTTTTGCTTCTTAGATTCTATACTTGGATTATAATTGTGCGTGTGTTGAGAGAAGAAGTTCTTATTTAATTGTTAATAAGCAATTGATAATCAATACATTAATTGCCCTGGTAGCTTAGAGGAAGAGTCAAGGAAGCAATGCATTGATGTAGGTCATGAATCACTTGTCAATAAAGTCACCTTTTCTATGATAGTTAGGCATCTGGCTAGGTAGCAGGGAGTATCCAAATAAATAGATGTTTAGTGTTTGGGGGGGGGTTTACAGTCTTGTGGTGAAATGAACATACTAAGAGATAATTTCAACACAGAATTACAGAAAATATGCCACAAGAAGTGAGGCAGGGCCCATAGATTAATATGAAAATGTTTCAGTTAAAAAAAACGGCCATAGTCCATTCTAGTCTTGATCCAAACTACTTCAGAGTGTGTCAGTTGAATGGGAATAGCCCCGCCTTTAAAAGCTTGTAAATTATGGGCATTCTGGAGGGTTTTTCTTTTTTTCCCCAGATTTCATAAAGTATGCAGTAACTTAGGTGGTATTGGTATGTATGATCTTTCTGTTCCTTCCCCTTTCCCCACTTGGAAAAAATCAAAAACTCCATTCCGTGGCTGAGAGAAAACTAGGGGGCTGGCTGAGTAAAGAAAGGGCTGTCACAGCAACTATGCCGTGCTGTTTGCTGTCCAGCTGGCAGTCTAACAGACCACGTCCAGATTGGAAAACAAACCAGCTCACGATATTCCAATGGAAAATTCATGGAGAAGATCCAGATTCAGCCCTGGTAGGGATACCTCACTCAGAAAATAAATTCAAGCTAGCACTACAGGGACCACAAACCAAGTCTGGGATAAGAAGAGTCTGCTAAGTGAGATAATGTTGACCGCTGGTGTGGGGAGGAGCAAAGAGTATGAAAAAAAGGAATCAGAACGAGAAGGACGGTGAGCCACTAGCCACTATAATACCCGAGAGAGGGCAATCCCTAAAGGCAAAGCTAATCCACACCTTGTGTCACGTGTTGGTAAATTTTCAAAATTCATGAAACCCTTCCTTTCTTCGTACACGCCCCCTTCCTAATGAATAAAGTAGAGCAGCATATCAAAATGTAAACAAGAGCAAAGAGCACTGGTTTGAGAGTCAGACTGATCTGGCTTAAATCTAGGTCTGACTACTTATTAGAAAGCAGACCCCAGACAAGAAGTAATTTAACCCCTCTATGTTTCCATTACACCACCAGTGACATGAGATGATTAGGAACCCCCTAAGAGAGTTGTAGTGACCGTTAGAAATAATTTATACATATAGTAATCAGAACTCTGGTCTTCAGCATGGAGAAAGTGTATTGATAGATGTGCCCTTTTGAAGTTAAGGCTTCATTAATCTTTAATGTATTATTCAGTAAGTATCCAAACGATAGTACTCTGAAGGTGGGCATAGCTGGGGCCAATCCTGTTTTATGACCCATATATATATCTGTCTACAATTTTTGTGCACTGAGCTATTAGCTTTCTAAAAGCTAGCAGAACATATACTTTTAAAGATGCTATCTAGTCATTTGGGTTTAAAAATGACATAAATGCAAACAAACTGTAATTGGGGAATGGTAAAAAAACACACCAGCAGGGCCGGGCGCGGTGGCTCACGCCTATAATCCTAGCACTCTGGGAGGACGAGGCGGGCGGATTGCTTGAGGTCAGGAGTTCGAAACCAACCTGAGCAAGAGCGAGACCCCGTCTCTACTATAAATAGAAAGAAATTAATTGGCCAACTAATATATATAGAAAAAATTAGCTGGGCATGGTGGCACATGCCTGTAGTCCCAGCTACTCCAGAAGCTGAGGCAGGAGGACTGCTTCAGCCCAGGAGTTTGAGGTTGCTGTGAGCCAGGCTGACACCATGGCACTCACTCTAGCCTGGGCAACAAAGCGAGATTCTTGTCTCAAAACAAAACAAAACAAAACAAAAAAAACAAAGCAGCAACACCCATGGGCTTTGTTAAACCATCCTAATCATAATCCTATCTTGTATTCATCCAGTAGCAAAAAGTATATGAACTGAAAAACATATTATTTGGCCTAATGGTATTTGGCCTAATGGTGAGAAAGTGTACATAAAGTAAAAGAAAAAAAACCTGTAAGACAAAGTACCTGGGATTCACAAAAAAACCGCCAAAATTCAAAATGTCAGATGTGAAGTCCAGTAGCATAATCCAGATAATGGATTTTTGTTAAATTGAGGTTTAAAAATAATTACTGAAAAAAGACCACAGAGCTAATGCTTGGGGTTAGGGTGTGGAGGGGGTCTATCTAAGAAATTCAAAGTTATGCCCTGGAGGTAATGTTCAAGGGCTCAAAAATCATTTCTCTAAATGACTAAATTAAACTATAATGTCTGGAGATCCTTCCTTCTGATGAATATTCAAACTGTGAGGCAACCTCATTTAACCTTCACTTGGCAGAAATTTTCACCACTTGGGTGGCTGGGAGTAATTATACTTTTAGAAAAAGCCCCAAACAGTTTAAGGAACCAAAACATAGTAAGTGGTATACTTCTAAGTAGAAGATTCTAGGGGGCTGGACGGGGAAGTGTCAGCTAAATCTGTTAACATGGTCAATCCTATATGATGTGAAGACCTTACAGACAACTATAGCATAAAATAACCCCCTTTAAAAAAAATTATGTTATACATTTATTGTACCACAATAAACAACAAACAAAGAGTATGCTTTGTTTATGGGTCTCTTCCCTCATTTCTCACGGGCAGCAGAGCACGTGTCCTTGGGACAGCCCGGGGACTGCAGCTCAAGCTCCAGGGTTTTTCTTCATTCCTCAAAACTTCACTACAAACAGCACTACAAGAAGACAAGACAAATCCCCAAAGCAGGACACTCTGTGGGACAGACTTCACTCTGAGAAGTCCCAGGTTGAGGGGCCACGTCTGATGAGAGCCTTCTTGCTGTGGGGACTCTCCACAGAGCCCTGAGGCGGCACAGGGCGCCACACGGCCAGCAGGGCTGAGCATGCTAACACGGTCAAAATAACCCTTTAAATCACTCTCAAAAAGTGAGACAGAAATAGAGAAAAACACTTTTCATATTTGTTTTCAATACTTACTTCCTTTGTAGTAAAGTCAGAGAGCCGAGAATTAGCAGGAAACCTCTCTGAAGACAGAGTATTTATACAGTTTGTTTTTAAATTTAACACTACTGCAGGGCACCTACAGCTAAACTGTTTGTAAAAAGACCAGCAAATGAGAAGGACTCAGTAATTTTTAAAGCAGGCTAGTAAAAACTGGGAAGGTAAACACAGGCTTTTTGGGTTAGGCAGACTCAAAAACCCAGAATGAAAACTAGTATTCACTTAGCAGCTGTAGGAACAGGCACAGGGACATCAGTATCACCCACCAAGTCATCGTACAACACGTGAGGCAAGCTAGTGATACTTCACGGATGGGAGATAATGGAGCACACAGACCTTAGAGAGCACTTACATCTCAGAGAGTTAGTGGCTGAAGCTGGGTTAAAAGTTGGGAATCCTAACCAACCACAAGTCACGTGCTGTGTCGTTGACAAGCGAGGTCTTAGGAGCATCTTATCCCCTCTTCTGCTACTGCTAATAACACACAGGCACTTAAGGACTCACTTCCTGACAATACTTAGAAGTGTAATGGCTCTTAACCTTCTACATACAAGAGTAGCCAAAGGAGCTTTTAAAGATTCTGATGCTCATGTCTCACCTCAGCCAATTAAAATTAAATCAGAATCTCTGGGAGTAGGACCCAGGAATCAGTATAATTTTAAAGCTTGCTCACCTCAGAGAATTCCAATGTGCAGCAAAATTGGGAACTACAGGTTTATCCCTTAATAATATATTTATAGCTTTACCAGCTTAAAACAACCTATATCATATATACATATATGTACAGCACAGATACCTTCACAAGTAAGTTAATAAATCACAAATCACATAGGAAATCTGTTACTACTACAATAAAATTAAGGCAACTGCATGTGCTCATCTTCAACTGACAAAGTGCCTACAAACCCAAATCACATACATCCCTTTCTCTGATTTATTGTACAACATGCTAAAGGGCAGGTCTCCAAATAAAATGATCTGTTATTAGAGTGTGGCTCCAGGAAAAGGATGGAAAATCTCTGCTTACCTGGGCTCTGCTTAGAAGCCAAAAGAGATGCTGCATCAGGGCATGGCTCTATTGTACACCAGTTTTCTTGGTTTATCTGAAAGGAAGGGAAAAGAAAGGAAAACACTGAGTTTCAGACACTGAAGTAATATGATTTTACAGTTGCTGAAAGTATATCTACTATACCAACCCACCTATATTTTTCTTTAATATAAGGTGAATAGAATTATGTCAAGAAAAAAACCTTTTTACAATATAAGATGCAATCTGTACTCAATTAAGGTTCTAAAGAGATTATCACAAAAAGCTGGGCATACAAAAGCAATAGGAAAAGATACACAAAGAGGAAGGCCATGGTGCAGGTCAAGGGTGAAATTTTTAAAAAGGACAGAAGAAACTGACCAAATATTAAAATATATATTTGATGTCTTGTTTGCAAATTTAAAAAAATACAAAAATATTTCTTATGTGAGACTTACTGTATACCAGGTATCATGTTAAGAATTCTACATGTCTCTATTTTCCAAAGAAGAAATAGGCTCAGAGGGGTTGCTAATGTAATAAATAGGAGGACTGATATGGGGAGTGCCAAGTCTGTGTGATGCCAAAAAGCAAATATACCTCCCTCACTTAAGATTTTTAAAAATTTAAACCTTTAGTCTTTATTAATTCCCAACCATCTTAACATTATAATAACCCTCTACTTTCATTAAATTTGAAATGATATATAATTTTTAAAATTACCATGGAAGATTTCAACACCCCTCTCTTGGCAATTAATAAAACAAGTAGAAACAAGGATATAGAAAACTTGAAAAACATCAACCACTTTGACTTAACCAACACATAGAACATTCTACTCAATAATAGCAGAATACAAATTCTTTACAAGTGTACATGGAATGTTCCCATTCTGTAGCATAAAACAAACTTCAAAATAATCAAACATTCTGTGGCATAAAATAGGGCTCAAATTTAAGAAGATTAAAACCATAAAAAGTATGCGCACTGATCACAACAATATTAAATCAGAAACCAAAACCCCCAATATATATCTGGAAAAATTCCAAATGTTTAAAATATTAAAAAAAAAACAACTTCTAAATAACCCATGAATCAAAGAAGTAATTTATACCATTAAGTGCTATATTACAAAAGAAGAGAGGTCTCAAATCAGTGTGATCTAAATTTTCACCTTAACTAGAAAAAGAAGAGCATATTAACCTAAAGTAAGCAGTATAAAGAAAAGAATAGAAATCGATGAAACAGAAATGAGTAAAACAATAAAATCAAGAAAGTTAGTTCCTTAAAAAGATCAATAATATCAATAAAACTCTAGCTAGACTGATCAAGAACAAAAAAAGTTACAAATTACTGGTATCAGAAATTAAAGATAGATATCAATATAGATACTACAGACATTGAAAGAAGGAATATTATGAACTTTACTGCAATAAACTCATCCAGTTAGATGAAATGGAAACATTCCATGAAACTATACAAACTATCTAAGTACCAAAATTCACTGAAGAAAACACAGATAAACTGAATAGCCTTATTCTGTTAAAGACATTGAATTCATAGTGTAAGTTTCCTATAAGGAAAACTTCAGGCCCAGATGGCTTCCGTGGTGAATGCCACCAAATATTTAAGGAAGAAATAACAATTCTACACAAACTCTTATAGAAAATGGAAGAGACAATAGTACACAACGTATTTTATGAGCCCTGAATTACTCTGACCAAAACCAAAGAACACAAATGAAAAAATCCTGAACAAAATTTTAGATAAACCTAATTCACCAATATACAAAAAGATTAAATACATCAAGACCAAGTGGATACATCCCAGGAATGTCAAGTTGGTTTAGCAATCATAATATCAATTTATTAACAGACCAAAAAACTGACAAACTAATGACTATCAATAGATGAGAAGAATCTGGCAAAATTCAACATCTATTCATGATAAAACTCTCAGAACACGACAAACAGAAAAGAAATTACTTAACCAGATATAGGTCATCTATAAAAAGAAATCTAGTTAACATCACACTTAATGGTGAAAAACTAAAATGCTTTAGTTTTTCAGGAACCAGATCAGGAAATCAGATCTGGTTCAGGAACCAGAAAAATATGTCCACTCTCATCATTTTTATTTGACATTATTCTGGAGGTCCTAGCCAGTGCAGTAAAGTAGAAAAAGAAATAAAATTTAGATCTATATACAAACAATGAACAACTAGAAATTAAAAGTCAAAGCAATACCATTTACAATGGCATTAAGAAATATAAAATTAAGGACAATTTTAAGAAAATATGAGTAAAAGTTGTACTCTGAAAACCATAAAAGATGGCTGAGAAAAATTAAAGCAGTCTTAAATAAATACAGAGAGAAATAATATCTATAGATCAGAAAATTCAGTATGGTTGTTAAGTTTCCCTAAATTGATCATTACATGATTTCAAGACTTACTATAAAAACTACAGTAACCAAGCCAGTGTGGTATTGGTGTAAAGACAAACATGGATCAATGGAAGAGAAGAGAGAATCTACAAACAGACCCTCACAGATGGGGCCCACTGATTTTGACAAAGATGCCAAGATATTTCAATGGCGGAAAACAGTCTTATGAACAAATGATGCTGTAACAACTTGATATTCACAGGTGAATAAACAAATAAACAAAACTCCCCCTAAATCTCAAGCCTTATATTACACCATCTATATAAAAATGAACTCAGAATAGATTATATAGCTAATTGTTAAAGCTAAAATTATAATATTTCTAAAGAAAATATAGGGGAATATTTTTGTGTGACCTGGAGTTAGGCAAAGATTTCTTAGATACCATACTTTTAAAAAAAAACATGAAAAAAACAATAAATCCAACCACATCAATGTTAAAAACTTTTCTTCCTCAAAAGCCATTGTTAGAAAAATGAAAAGGCAAACTACCAGCTGGGAGAAAACAGTTATAAAACACCTGTCTGCTGAAAAATTCCTACTCAGAATGTATAAAAACAAAACAAAACAAAACGCAATAATACAACATGATTTTTTAAATGAGCAAAAGATTTGAATAAACATTTCATAAAAAAGATAAATGAATGGCAAATAAACATAGAATGAGATATTCAACATCATTAACCAACAGGAAAAATGCAAAATGAAATCACCAGGGCATACCAATGCATATTTATTACAACAGTCAAAACTGACAACTGATAATACCAAGTTTTGACAAAGATGAAGAGTAACTGGAACATGGAAATGTTCCTGAAAGAATGTAAAATAGTATAGTCACTTTGGAAAACAGTTTAGTAGTTTCTTATAGTGTCAAACATACACTTACATACAACACAGTATCCCACTCATGGATATTTACCCAAGAAAAATAAAAAGTATGTTCACACAAAGACTTGTACTAGAATTTTCAGAGCAGCATAATTCATGACAGCTCCAAACTAGAAACAGCCCACAGTGCCATCAAATTGTAAATAGACAAAACAAACTGCCAAACTGTAATATGTCTATAAAATGCAACAAGCTCACAAGAAGGAATGAACTGCTGATGCAAACTACACGGATGAATCTCAAGAGTATTATGCAAAGTTAAAAAAAAAAAAAGTCAGACATAAAAGACTACCTACTGGATGGTTCTATCTATGTGATTATTTAGAAAAGGCAAAACTATAGCAACAGAAAACATATTATTGATTAACAGGGACTGAACAACAAGACTGCAAGGGGACAGAAGGGAATTTTTGAACTAACAGAAATGTTTCTATTATGATGGAGTAGTGATTACACTATTTAAACAATTCTCAGAATTCAAACTATAAACTTAAATTGGTGAATTTTACTGCCTGCAAGTTATACCACAATAAAATGGAAAACAAATACATTCCCAAAATAGATGTGTAACATGTAAATTTGTTTTCACAACTCTGAAACACCTTAACATTATAACTCTTCAATCTCATTAAAACTGAAATATTCAGCCGTAATTCTAAATTTTATGAACCAAAGTATCTAAACAAATTATCTAGTTGAATATTTATAATGCTCAAAGACAGAAGCTATGGTTTTATTTAATAACCTCTAAAATATAGTATGTATCTACTAGGAGATTTCTGATCACTTTGGTCAGAAGATACTATGCTATTCTGCGGAAAAAGATCAATAGTTTTACTGAATATGCAAAGTGGGATAAGGCAGACAGCTGGGGACATATGTCAAATTGTAATATGCAAGGCACTAATAGACTCTCTGTACTCTTCTTGTCATTTTAGCTACCTGTGTTAAAGTGAGTCTCACATTCTGCAAAATTAATATGCAGTAAATAATATAAATAAATACTGAAAGAACAAAATCAAAGTTAAATAAAATATCTTTAAGTGAATACACTTATTTCTGAATAACAGGGATGAGAACATAGTGTTGGGAAACAATTCTTCATGGGTGTCTCACATTTCTGCAGGTCTCGTGAGCAAAGGCACAGTGATTGTGCTTTTATTCTAGACTATCTTTTTAAGAATGTTTATATGTAAAACAGCCTTGGAAAATAAAGATATTGCTTCTTTCTGAAGCAAAGGGCAGGTATATTTACTGTCTAGTATAATAAAATGTCTCTGTCAAGGGCAAAGGTCACATAGGCATTGCATCCATTATATAAAAATTCAGGTTTCTTAGGGTTGAGGTTTCTCAGCTGTGACAGAGCATCAACCTGGGTCCCTCCCTCCTGCCTCCATGGAGCTTAGGAAATAGGAAGGACCAGTAAGAGGCTGGTGCTCATGCTGTGTGCATGAGCAACTTGGAATAAACTCACCTGCCTCTGACCCCTAGAGTCCCGTGACTTCTGTCAGCATGGGTGCAACTGTGTCAGGATACAAGTTAACTTGTTAGCTTACAAGTAGGCTAAAATCTCAGAGCCATCACAGTTCTTGACAATTAGATTATATAGTGTTAGAAATTTTACACATAGTGGCAGCCAAAAATCTCTTGATATGATTTACACCTCTGGTGAAAAACCCTGATCTGACTGTATTTTTAATTGAGTGGTTATGCTTGAATGATCAAAAAGAGACAACTAAT